AATACTGCTGAGTGATGGCAACAGATGCTACGAGGGGAAAAAGGATCGCCCAGTCAAGCCCTGCCCCCCAAAATTCTGACCCCCAAAATTGTGAGATATGATAAAATAGTCTTCTTTTGAAGCTACTAGATTTTAAGATCATTTATTATGCAGCAATAGGTAACTGGGAGAGTAGGCATTGAAGAAATGTTTATCGAATGAAAAAGCAATGAAAGGAAGGAAGAAATGAAGGGAGGGCATAGAGGAGGAAAGGAAAGAAAGGAAAGAAGTTTCCAGTTGTTCTTGGAAGGCTGTAACAGGACTGATTAAATGGCAGGCACTTGTAAGGTTCATAACCCCAATTTGAGGAGAGCCATGTTTATTTTGCATAGTTGTCAGTGGAACTCTGTGATCCTGTCACCATTGATTGGATTAGGAATCTGCACCCTGGGAAAGACCAGAGGTGCCCTGGCTTGAGAACTCTGTCTAGCCCAAGCTAGGCTGTGGTGAGGAGGCCACCCAATCAGATCTGCTTTGGGGGAAGGTTGCCAATTCTGGATACATTGAAAAGGAGTGATAGAAGCTGAGAGAAGCTGGGTCTCGAAAATGGAGGTGGCCCCAGAGTCTGGAACAGCCAAGGATAAAGTCAGATGGAAAGTCCACCCATGGCTGCTGGCTGTTTCCAGAACCAAGGTGGGAGTTCTTGCTCATGCTCAGCCCTCCAGAGGCTTCTGTAAACCCCAGAACCTGTGCTAGCCTCAATTTGTCTCTGTATCTGATAATCCCAGAGAGCCTAATAGGATGAAAATCCAGTGAGTGACATGTCTCCATGTGTGTGCTCCTGAAGTGCATTTGTGTGTGTGTGTGTGCATGCGTGTGTGTGTGTGTGTGTGTGAGCACAGGAGTGAGCAGTTTGCTGGAATTTCTAGGATTAAAGTTAGGAAATAAAATACTATATCCCCCACACACATTTCCTCGTAGAAAAAAAACATTTTCTTTATAGTTTCCCCTGTAGTGGGGTAAAGAGCTGGCTCCTGTTAATTGAAGGGTGCAGGATGAGACAGTGGTTGTAAAAGATTTTAAAGCTTTGAAGCCTTTTTCTCCAAACAGAACATTAGTGAGAAGCCAATAAGGTCAATCAGGTGAAAGCCACCTCTCTAATTTGGTGGGGAAAGGGAGGCAGGCACACAGAATCCAATCATTGGCACTCTTGGCCTTGAGGAGGCCAGGGGTTCTCTAAGACTCTGCTGAGTTAAGAGGCAGAGAAGAGTGCTCTGGATGAAATTCGAATCCCTGGATTAAAGGCCCCTCTTTTTCATTAACCAACTTTATGACCTAATCTCTATGGGCCTTAGCTTTTTCAATTATTAAATAGGGGTATTACCCATTAGGATGCTCTTAGCAGAGTATCCAACAAAAATAATTTTAAACAGTAAAGGTATGTTAATATCTCTGACAAGAAGCCCAGAGGCAGGTGGTCTTGAGTTCAGTAGCCAAAAAGGTCATCAAGTACTCAGGCTCTTTCTACCTTTCTATTCATTCTGTCATCCCCTCATGGTCATAAAATGGCTGCTGCTGCTGTTTCAATATCTTACATCCTTACAACAACATTCAAAGGCGGGAAGAATGTGAATGGGTGATGATGACATCAATCTCCTAAAACATTTCTCTTTTTACAGGAAGAAAACTATTTCTGAGAAACATCCCACCAGGATCCCCGTTAGGTTCTATTGGCCAGGACAGGGATGTCCCTAAACTAAATCATTAAAGAATAATGTTTGTACCATGATTGGCTTAGGGTAATTATGAATCATCTTATGGGGTTGAATCCACCTTCTATGAACACAATGCCATCCAATATCAGAATAGTTCTGAATTGATATTGTGCTCTCAGGTCTTAAGCATTGGGGTTTACCTCATACAGGTGAGCACATTACTGCTGGCTGAGAACCTTCTGGTCCCCAGTGACTCCGACTCCACCCCTCAAGGCCAGCCTATAGGGAGAGAAGATTTAACCCAAATCGAGAATGTAACTCACAACCCTAGTTTTTTCCTTGGTAGGCAATCAGCATTCCAAGCCATCAGATATATATATCTAATCTAATTACCTTCTCAACATGTCTTGCATTGATTGTCCAGTTGTGTGCAGGATGTGTGTGCGGTTGGCGACTGCTCCTAATCTAATGTCACCGTGTCATCATCCAGCCTGAACTGTAAATGTGGAGACACAAGGGACCATATCCATGCAGTTCGCTTTGTACTCTGCCTGTCCCAGTGCCTGTGTACACCAGCCCTTAAAAGCTTCTACTGATTAATGAATGCCAGAGGCTTCCTTGCTGTGACGTTGACAAGTATTAGAAAAGCTGCGGACATTTCTGAGCACTGCTGATTTTTTAAAACTCCCCTTCCCACCTTCCACCTTAACTCCAAGAGATCAGTCTTCAATTTGTGGATCCAATCTGTTTTGAAAGTGTTTAACAAAAAGGTACTTTTAGTCCTTAAAACTTTTTATGACAGAAGACACACCATTAGAACCCTGTTACTCCCATGAGAAAACATTGGGGTACACGGTAGTAACTGATGTGGGGAGATGGGAATTCAAAGCCGATTAAGGTTTTATAGAGGATCTGGGATGGGGTTTTTGGCTCTTGCAAATTGACCTAAGCTAGTTTGGTCTTGAAAAACAATTAGGTTCTTTTTGGTAAATCTGTGTCGCCATGACTAATTAGAGGTGAGTGAAGGTGGAGGACCCGTCCCCTACTGTACCACTAGGTCACTGTGAAAAGAAGTCTTCAGGTCAAGTTCTGAGCAAGCTGTGCCAAGCAGTTCTATAACTTGTTCTGTAAATTCTGTGAAGATCCAGCCCTCTCTCCTTTTCAGAGCTCTGGCAGCTGCTGCAGAAAAGTTTGCCTGAGGAATCCTTGCAGTGAGATTCTCTATCTTTCTAGTTCGACTCCAGGGGGACAAAAATCTACCAAATCAGCAGCCAGATGCTCGCAGGACCACTTAGGAAAGACACCCACGATGCCATTCATACAAGAACAAACCACAGGGCATGCCGGATTTTCCTACTCTGTGCCTGCAAGAACTGGGATGCCGCTCCTATTCCTACCCAGTCCACCCCTCTCTGACCCCAGTGAGAACTCTTTCTAAGGCCCTTTATGCTAATGAACAAAACCTCTGGTGCCAGTTAATGCCTAGGCCATGACGGGCTCTGGAGTGTAGATTCGTGATAAAGTGTTAAGTACCCATTCTTAAACGTCTGTCCTCAGTTAGACCCACTGCCTTCTCCTAAAGCAGATGAAACCTAACACGTACATACCAACATGCCAAACGACCCACCGGAATTTACTTTACATTACAGGTCACATCACAACTGTCATTTTCCTGCTCCTGTTGACACAAATAAAATAGAAGTGCCTACAACAATTTAGCATCCCCTGCAGTGAAATTTGGAACCGCCCAATTAGAGAGGGAAAAAAATGCTCCTTGTTCAGCCAACCAGCCCTTTACAGATTACAAAGTGTTTTATAGCAAGACCACAATGGCCAGAGGGAGGGGCTCCCTGGCCTTCCACCTCAATCAGGGCAGTTCCGCTTCCTTGTAAACTTGCACTGGCCCACCAGATTGGATGGCCTTTAAAACTTTAAAAACCTCTGTGCAGCCCCTGCAGGGAATAAGGAAGGGAAGAGGAATGGGAAGGATGGCAGGATGGTGGGAGGAGAGCTGGCAGGAATGATGAAAGGAGAACAGGAGGAGATGCAGCAGGAAAAGAGGCCAGGATGGCCTCTGTGAGGAGGCAGGAATCCTAAGGAATGATCCTCCTTTGATTGGAGAACCCTCAGTTCACCCATCCAGGAGGCAGGGTGCTGGTTGCTAGGCCCTCCCTTCAGAAAAGAAGGATTTACACCCTCCACTGCTGAGAGTGCTGTCTGCAGCCTATCCCCAGCTGTCAGCCCTTCCTCAAGGCTGAAGAAACCGCCCTGCCCAGGGTCATGCCAGCTTCTGGAGCAGCCCATGCCCAGGGGCTGATCCCTGCAAGGCTATCAGGGCTTGCTCCTGCAGCCCAACTCTGAACAACTCCGAAGTGTCACCCAGCTCCAGAGTGCTCTGAGGGGTCAGCTGAGGCTCTTGTAGGGCTAGCATTGTAGTTCAGTTTCCTCCTCTGCCTGCTTGGCTTCTAGCCCCGCCCTTCTCCAGGTGCTGACCCTAGAAATGCTCCCCAAGAAAATGTCCTGCATGCTAATCTCCATCCCAGCATCTGCTTCCCCAGGAAACGGGACCTGCAATGTCATGGGTGAGTCACTCTGCCCAGCTGAGATTGCAGAGCTGGGACACAACGTGCTGACGCTGGAATCCAGGACTCCGCGAGGAGAGAAAAGAGGCAATAACCAGCTTTAACAACCATCTAGTTTGCATACCTTTCCTACACCCTAGCTCCAGCTGCCTCTCCCTCTTCCCATACCTTCTGTGAGGGCACCAGACTGAGGTTTTTTTGCAGTGTGCATTCTCAAATCTTCCTTTCCCAACTAGCAGTCTCCCACATCTTGTGGGTTTGCCGGCTTAAAATCTGAGGAGGCAGGAGAACCGAAGAAAAGAATAAGGATGAAGAATGGGGAGGAAAGATGAAGAAAAGAGTGTGTTTGCATCTAACATGGAAAGAATGGCCCCTCTTACAAGTGAAAATTTGACAATTG